ATGTCACAAAGTGCTCTCCTTGGGGGGGGTGGTTCAGAAGACTGTTCTAGTATGGGATTTGCTCCTCTGCCCTGTGACCCTTTGTGAGCCTCTGAGCCTCAGTTTTTCCTTTGCACAAGGAGGACTCCTCCTTGTTACTAGTACTATCTGGTGCTGTTTGGTATGGTCTACAGCCAAAGTATTCAGGCCAGACACATTTGCATTACCACCCTTTCCCTTAAGTCAAATACACCAGCTGCCACAGGGACTCAAGTGGTAGGGTGCTTAACCAGCAAGTGTGAGGCCCTGAGTTCAAAACCCCAGTGCCACCAAAAAAAAATGCTTAAATTATGCTGGGTGCTGGTGGCTCATGCTTATAATCCTAGCTACTCAAGAGGCAGAGATCAGGAGAATCATGGTTCAAGGCCATGGCAAAATAGTTCACCAGACCCTATCTCAAAAAAAAAAAAAATCACAAAAAAAGGCTGATGGAGTGGTTCAAGGTGTTGGTCCTGAGTTCAAACCCCAGTACCACAAAAAGAAGAAAGAGAGAGAGAGAAGAAAGAAAGAAAGAAAGAAAGAAAGGTGCCAGGCCAAAGCCACAGACATGGAGACCTCCTTGAGTTCTTGAGGAGGTCTCTCTTAGCCGCTGGGCACTCAGGTGTTCTACTGGCAAGCGGTTTTTCAGTCTTCTTGGGGACCCCCAAATCAGTGTTATCTTCCTTTTCCCCAGGTCCACAGCTCAAGGGCCCCACCCTGGGAGGACAGACTCCCTCTTTCCAGTGAGGAGATGCAAGGTCATGCTTAAGACCAGCATCCTTGGGGGAAGGGGGGAGAAATGACCCAAACATTGTATGCACATATGAATAAAAGAAAAAAAAAAAAGACCAGCATCTTCCTAGACCCTCCTTTGGAATTCAGGCTGTCTTGTGCCTCTGGGGTCCCTGTACTGGGTGGAGTAGTGCCTTTTCTCTCTTTCCCACTCCACCCAACTCTGCCCCGCCCATGTTTCCCCAGGCTTAGGGGTGCCCCACCCAGATTTTCAGAAAAACAAAATCAAGGAGAAAGAGTTAGCAAGTAGGAGAGAGCTCATTACTAAGGATTAAGAAGGAGGTATGCCCTGGGGACTGGGCTGGCAGAAGTCACTTGCAAGTACAGGTAGGGATAGATACTGAGTACACACAGAGCATTGCTCCAAGTACACAGAGAGACGGACTCAGAGGTACGCACAAAGACCTGGCTCAATTACACAGGTCGTCCACTTAGCAGTTCACAAAGACTTAGGCAGTGACAGAGACATGGAAAGCCAGATGGTCAGCCAGAAGCTCAGACCTAAAGACATAACCTGATATACTAGGAGAAAGACAGGCCCACCAGAAGCGCTGAGCAATGCACATTTGCATGTGTGCACACAGATGCACAGAGGCAGGTGCACACAGAAACAAAAAACCTCAAGTTTTAAGGAGGCTAATTACAACTGAGCAAATCAGAACATTAAGAAAATATGGAGCCGGGCGCCAGTGGTTCACGCCTGTAATCCTAGCTACTCAGGAAGCAGAGATAGGGAGGATCACAGTTCCAAGCCAGTCCAGGCAAATACTTCATAAGACCCTATCTCAAAAAAAACCATCAGAAAAAGGGCTGGTGGAGTGGCTCAAGGTGTAGGCCCTGAGTTCAAGCCCCAGTACCACAAATAAAAGGAAAAAAGAAAGAAAAGAAAATATGGGCTCCTAGAGGGCTTGGTGCAGAAAGAAGGACACAGGCCCAACTCCAGGGGTTCCAACATGTCAAGTTCAGCCACTAGGTCAAATATGACAAAGAGATGATTAGTGGTAAAGGTCTGAGAAAGCCCTTGGGATGAAGGAATTAAGCATTTCAGCCCATCTTCCATGTTTAAACAGAGAAAGAATTGGGGGGGGGGTGAGAAGTATGCAGTCTAGGTCAAAGGTATATCTCAGCATTGGTCAGGCTGGGGACTTGTCAGATAAGTCATTAGGGGTGGCTTCTACTCTTGTCTCAAGATTGATCAGTCCTGTCTTCCCATTTCTGGATTCCAATGTGACTGCAGAAGGGAATGGTTCAGAACAAAGGAGTTAAATTCAAACTGGAGGCAGAGATGCAGAATTTTATCCTGCTTTTTGTTTCCCTTTGGATATTTCCAGGCTTAAGCAAAGTTAGTACTTTTAAAGCAAAAGCAGTTTCTAAGTATCTTCTATTGGTGAGCCATGGGGTGTGGCTATCCTTCCATGGGGTGATTCTCCATGTCTACCCTGGAAAATGGATTACATGGAATGAAGAACATAGTTCCTGTAGGAGGTAAAGAGTTTTCCTTCTAGAACTTGCTAACACCCAGAACTGCTAATGGAGGGCTTGCCTGGAGGGGAGGTGGAGAGGCAGGAGCTTCCCTTCTGACCCTGGAGAGTTAGTTGCTGCATGGCTCAAGTATGCACTCACTGCTCCTGGTCTTGGCCAGGCCTTACTCTCTCTCTCCTGTGGTCTGACCCTCCAACCAATATACTCTCTTGGCTCCCCTGCCCTGGGCTTGTGGCTCCCTCTTGTCTGTCTTCTGTCCCTCCCAAGTGCCTTCTAGAGTCAGGCACAGCTACCATCCCAACTCTTCTTCCCTCCCCTTTCAGAAAATTCAGAATTATGGAAGGAATCTGAGGTGGAAGAGGATGACCTTTAAAAAACAGCCTTCAGCATCCCTCCTCCACCCTTTCCCCTACCTCTACTTCCCCACCTCATTTCTGGTTCTGGATGAAAAATTATGAGATGACATTTGGTTACCATGTGCTGGTCACTGTGTCAGGTCCTTTTCATGAATTATATTCCATTATTTTCTTTCATTAATCCCCAAGCCACAGATAAGGAAACTGAGGTTCAGGGAAAAACATGAGCCCACAAGTCACACAGCTTGAGAGAGGATATACTGGGCCTGGAATCTAGGTTCAACTTCCTATTAATCTCTGCACCTAGGCCCCGGTTGCTCACGCCTATAATCCTAGCTACCCAAGAGGCAGAGATCAGGAGGATAGTGGTTCAAAGCCAGCCCAAGCAAATAGTTCAAGAGATCTTATCTCAAATAACTCTTCACAAAAATAGGGCTGGTGGAGTGGCTCAAGGTGAAAGCCCTGAGTTCAAGCCCCAGTACCGCAAAAAAAAAAAAAAAAATCTCTGCACCAGAAGGCACTACCCCCTGACTGGTGCATGGGGCATGGGTGAGGTGGGGGCACCAAAGTGGCTACAATGAAACTCTGCAGCCACATTCTCCTCCCAAGCTTTACCTTTCCTCCTCTCAGGGTCAGGTTAGAGAACACTCCCAACATTCCAGACACACCTCTTGGGAGCTGAGGACAAGGAAGAGTTAGAGTTCTGAGGAGGACTTGCCTTCTTCCATCCTTATCTTCCCAATCAGAGTCCTGGCTGTGTGACCCCGGATTTGCCACCTGCCTTCTATGAGCCATGGCCTTCTCATCTGGGAAGGGGCTGGGAAGCAAGAGCAGGCTCTAAAAGTGTAGTTCTGTGGACCCAGAGATCCTCTGGCTCCCAAGGGGTTAACTCTGCAGGAGGGCTTGGGGGAGGGACACCTTTCCTTATATTCCTGGTGAAACTTAAGTTGGATCTGGTAAGGGAGGAGGAAATGAGAAGAGAAGAGCTTCCTGGGCGCAGGTGTGCCGAGCCCCTTACATCTGATACCCGTGCCTGTCAGAATAACCCCTTCCTTCCTGAGCATGGATGTGCCTCAGACTGAAGAAATGAAGCAGAGGGGGCCAAGAGTGAACACAGGAGTGGTTTCTGGGCTTAGGCAAGTGACTAGAGATGGTGGAAGAGTAAGGAGGAGCAGGAATGACTTACTTTCTGGAGGAGGAGGCATTAAAGCAGATCAGAGGATGTGAGTTGGAACTTCGGAGTGATGGTCCAAAGTAGGGAAGCCCAGGAGCACATAAAGTAGGCTGGGGTAGGGTAGATGGACAACTGTGACGGGGTGGACAGGGACAGGGGCCAAGTCCTGGAGAGCCTAGATGTGGGTGGAGGGCTTTAGACTGTCTCCGGATGGAAGGTGAGAACCCTGAAAGAGCCCCACCTTTGGCAGGGGAAGGAATCCCTCCGATGGCTGTGTGGAATGATTGGAACAGATCTGAAGACAGGGAGGCTGCTGAGGGGGTCATAGCCAAGGTCTAGATGGAGGTGATGGAGCCTAACAGCTGTGAGTTGTAGGGTTAATACACGTTCCACTCTGACTGGTCTCCTCCACAGAGAACTCACTTCTCAGTCCTCCTCTTTGGGCAGCTCTGCCTGGGGGAACCTGCCTTCCTCGGTGCAGAGATTGGGAAGATGCCCAAAAGGATGCAAGTTGGACACCTGGAAATTTGTGGTCAGATACACTGAAGCTCCTTAACCAGCCCCAGAAAAACATCAGAATGAGCAGAAATATTTGCACAATTGACAGTTTTAGGCAGATATTTTATTGCTTTTTTTTTATAAAAGGCAAAAGAGTACATTATTGAGTAGATGATTAAAGGAGTGAAGACCCTTTTGAAAGTGGAGTCTCTCAATCTCCACCCTTAAATCTGTAACATTTTATATATATAATATATATATATTATATATATACATATTATCAAAAACAAAACAAAAGCAAACATGAAACTTATGACCTGAACTGCACACCCCCACCATGACTACATTTATGTCAGAAACATATTATACCACTCCTACTCAGGGATATCAGAGCTCTAGACCTGAGCTGTGGCCCCTTCCTCCCAGCCCCACCTCCTAAAAGCCTAGAGAAGCCCCACTTTAAAAAGGGCAGACACACATATACTCTAAAACACATATCTGGACCCTCCTCCAGGTTGGAGTCCCTGAAACATGCACACCCTTGTGCTTTCCTCACTCATATTGCTTTCTTCCTTCTTCTGGGCTCCCCCCACAACACCCCTGGAACCCTAAGCTCCTTTTCAAATGCTTGGTCCCTTGCCCTGAATATGTGGGAAACCACACACATGTATACACACACACACACACACACACACACACACACACACACAAATAACTGCTGCCTTTTCTCTCCCTTTGAGAGACAAAACCACGTCTGGCCCTACTCCCTTCCTACCCAGACTTAAGGGTGGTGACCTAAGGTCCTACTGGGCAGGGTCCAGTGGAAATCCTGGAGCGAGCCATCCAGCAGGGTAGTGAGATAGGGAGCATCTCAGCCTGTGAGGTGGATCATGAGGGGGCTTCTAGGGAGTGGCCCCTACATAGTCACCAAATGCGCAAGGGAAGGGGTAGTGGAGGGAGAGGAGGTGGCCACTGCTAGCTCAGATCTGCTCCTTGTGTTTCACATGGGCCAACTTCACGTTCTCTTGCTCGGTGGAGGGTGGGGGCTGCTCCAGGTGGCAACCAATCATGAGCTGGTACACAAAGACACCCGCAATGGAGCCCAGGAGTGGGGAGACGATAGGCACCCACCACCAGTGCCGGCCGGTCCTGGAGGACAGATACATGTGATCAGAGGTTGGTGGAGCAGGGCTGAGGAGAGGCAGGCTGGGGTAAACTGGGTAGGGACTGTACTCACGTGAAGACTTCTGAACCCCAGCCAGCGAGTGCAGTGAAAAGGCGGGGACCAAAGTCCCGGGCAGGATTGACAGCGTAGCCAGAGTTGAAGCCCATGGAAGTGCCAATGACCAGGACCACAAGGCCCACAGTGAAGGCCTCCAGGCCACGGGGAACAGGGTTGTTGTATGGGTCAACAATGGCCAGGACACACACGATGAGGGAAGCTGTGCCTATGAACTAAGGAGTGGGGAGAACGGGGTGAGGTGTATTTTCCCTCCCCACTCTCTCATCCCTCCTCTGTCTTCAGCCTTGCTGAAAGCTCTTGATTCCTGTCCTCTCCTGTGCCCGGCTCTCCAAGCAGCAGAGCTAAAATATTTACCAGTAGAAGAATTCAACAGAGAAGCTACAGGCTTTATAAGGACCTGCCACCGTGTTCTGAGATCAGGGTCCCCATAAATTGAGAAATTTATGGAAATCAAGAATTGTGTCCCTCAGCCAGCCCATGAGCACTGGGCTGATCAGGGCAGCTTGGTCCTCCCTCCTGTATTCCCCTCATACCTGGTCAAAGAAGCCATTGACCATGTCCAAGTGTCCAGAGGGATAGGTTGCAAAGATGCCAGCTGTGCCATTGGGGCCCGAAACGATAAGCTCATTGTTGGCAAAGTTCCAGATTGCATCTGGTGACAGATCAGAATAGATGAGGGAAGAGCCTCCCCTTTCAAGCTGGGCCCTCCCCACTCACCCAGGGGTCACAGTGAGCAGCTTGACTGCATATAACTCTGGAGGCACAGGGGGCAGCATGAGGTAGGGTGGAGGGCCTGAGACCATTGTTGCCCAACTTGCTTCTCACCCCTCATGCCCCTCACCTTGGGCCTGAGCACGAATGAGTGAGTCATGAGCCCTGGGCCTGGGCAGGCACCAGCTGTCTGTCATCAAAAGGCCTGGTGCCAAAAGGCCGAGGGAGGGGGCAGTGGAGGAGGGCAGGGCGGGGAATACATACCATAGTAAAGCCCAAAAACTATCCCAGCACCCAAGAAGGCTCCCAGTGTCTGAGCCAGGGTGTAGACAGGCAGCTTGATCCAGGGCTCACGCGCCAGGAAACACATGGCAAAGGTCACAGCTGGGTTGAGGTGGGCCCCTGGACAGAGAAGAGATAGAACCTATTATCCGTCCACCACAGTGAAGAGCAGGCCCCCCGCCCCACATATTCATTCTCTCTGGCCCCAGTGAAAAGGGTGCAAAGAATAGTCTCTCGTGCAGATAGCAATTGGACTATGTAACAGGCCAGCTCTGCTAATCTTTGTTCCAAGGTGAAAGTCAAAGGTTCTAAGTGTCAAGTCTTTTCTCTACCCTTATCTCCCAAGCACCCAAAGCTGAGGTCACTACTATGACCTACCCTTTCAAATGCCTCCTCCCACCTGCCTCTTCAATGGGATACCTGGTGGGGATACTGTGAGAAACAAAGACTGAGGGTAGGGTTAAGGCCTTACCAGAGACCTGGCCAGCCACGAGGATGCCCAAGGTAACAGCAAAGCCAAAGGCCAGGTTGATGGTGAGGAAACCACCATGGGTGCCCCGGCTGAGCACCACCTGTGCCACAGATCCACAGCCAAACATCTGTGTCAGGAAACAGAACAAGGCAGAGGGTGAGGTCCCCACTGAGGCCCAGCATTTTTCACTCCAGAGGGAAGGGGGGAAGTCAGAAATCTTGCTTGCTACCATCAGGAGGACTGGAGATCCTTCCTGGAATCCAAACCAAATCTTTTCTGCTGTGATTGCACACACCAGTAAAAGGAGACCTTCTCCCCTTATGTCCCAGCTGTAATATAACAGGGCCCCATGGAAGGGAATGGAAGCAGGTTTATGACTAGGAGCCTGGTTCAACCATATTCACTGATTTTTCTTTAATCTCGGAGGAAGGGAAATGCAGGAGAATAGCTTTCACTGTAGCACACAGTGAAGAGTGATGGGATCACACAGCCCCAGCTGCCTAAAAGTAGAGCTAAGGTGGAGGTGGGAGTGATGGAGTAACACAAATGAATGGGATAAGGCCAAAGTGAAGCCCAGTCTACTTCTGAGTCTAGGATGTCTGCCTGACCCTCACCATGTCCAGCACCTCACTCTCCTTGACCTGTTCCTATCCCAGTGCCTCCTCTCTCTATCTGCCCTGACCTCAGGGGTCCAGGTTTCCCACTCAAATTTGGAGGCCCCAAATATAAGGCTCTGAGAGGCTCCTCTTACCACCCCCAGTCTGGGACCCAAGGCAGGGAAAGTGAGGAGATCAGCTCTAAACATTCTGCCAAGTATGGGAGGGAGATTAAAAGGGACTAAGGTCCCTGATGTCCTGCAAGTACAGAATGAACTATATGTCAGCTGCCCTTGTTCAAATGTGAAAATCCTCTACAGCAGCTGGTGCCCTGAGACCCACACGACCCCCAAAGCTGCTCCAACCCAGCCCTGGGTCTCCTCTCCCACTTCTCCTTAATGGAAGGTGCTATGCTGGCACCAGCAGGCAGTTTCCGGGAACCGTGCTAAGGCCCTGTTCATTCTAATGGGTCAGTGCCTGTGTACTACATTGTTAAGAATTTTGATTATCATCCCTCAGAAGACCAAGAGATAATGGACAAGCCGGCAGTGGTGATGGAGGGCAAAGGTGTACAGGCAGGTGAGAGGAAAGATTAGAGATAGGGTGGGGGACGGGGCACGTGGAGGTCTGGGGCACTCTGCCAAGCCTGGCAGGCCCTGGCCTCAACTCTTTGCCTGCCTGAGGCCCAGACCTGGATCCATCCCAGGAAGCCTTGGAGGAAGAAGCTGTCAGAGCCAGTTCCACCACCTTGGAGCTAATCTTCCTCTTCCTTCTCCACCCCTCTGCCCCTAAGTTCTTGGCCAGCCCCCCAGCATGCACACACACACACACACACACACACACACACACTAGGTACCTCAGAGAAAGGGGCTTCCCTCATCCCAAAGTTCCCCAGTTCTGCCACTGTAGGCACTAAGTCCCCAATACACAGAGGTAAGCAAGCAGGCCCTCACCCAACCCTGGAGGGGTAGGCAGGCACCCAGGCCAGGCCCTTTCTGGTAGCCCTTGAGGTTCTGCCTTTCACTGACACCTGATGCCTCAAATCTACCTGAGCCTAAAAGCCTTAGTCACAAACCTATCACCCTCCTTTTGTGGTCTGGGATAAGGCAAATAATCCTGGGGCTCAGCATTAGGACTGGCTGCTCCTTTGGCAGTGGCGGCGGTGGGGGGGATTAGGCTGAGAGTTGGGAAGGGAAAAGGCTGTTTTAGCTGCTCCAAAACAGGTGACTGGACTCATGAATCAGGGAGTAGGGGCTCTGAGGCAGGAGGGTGATAAACACATCCCTCTATTCCTTTCTTGGCACAGGGGGGAGAGGAAGTAGAGACAATTATAGGGCCATTAGTTTTTTGAAGCCAGAAGTGAGATTGGGCCCTCCTCTCACCTGGAGAAGAGGGAATCTAACCTGCTCCACCATCACTACCATTTGGAGTAGGCTTCCCCAACCCCTACTTGCCTTAGGGGGCTGTCTGGTCCTAGGTATTACCTAGGACTGGGCCAGGGCCTGGAACAGAGTAACCTGCTCACTACAGTGGAGCAACAGAATCCAGAGGAAACAGGTGTAAACACATGAAACCACATGAGCAGCTGCAAATCAGAGTGACTGAGACAGGAAATGGAGACCACAATTGGTGCATTTGTCAGACCCAAGAAGTGCACAGACTCACCCAGGGCGAAGCTGGTATAGCCAAAGAATAACTGGGACTGAGGAGAAACCCCTGGGAAGTATCTTACTCAGAGAGTCCATGGTGGGAAAAACTGTGAGAGGCCAAGGAGTAGCTCAGAGGGCCACAATCTTCTGCTCAAAAACTGACAGTCTGTCTGGGTGACTGGCCAGAGTGTGGGATCCCCTTAGCCAGAGGGGGAAGCAACTTTTAAAGCACCATGGCCTCTGTGTTAAGGCCCAGCTTCCTCCCACAGCCTCCTATGTTCAGGATCTTCCTTTCTTCCCGCTTTGCTTTTACAGACCATGTGACCTACGCCCTCTGCCCCTACTCATGGCAAACTATCCTCACGTCCCTGCAACTTTGGACTTTCTGAGGCTTAATTATTCATTAAGGGGCCAGACATTCAGGACCCAAATAACCTAATAGGGTCCATTTGCCTCTGCCCCTCTGCCTCCTGGGGCTGGGACTCTGGAAACCTGGGGAGGCTGTAGAAGGTAGAAGTAGGGATTGATGGTCCCAGACTGCAGGGGTGACCTTTCCCCTGGCCTGTGGGTTGGGTCACAAGTAGAAAGACAAAGGAGCAGAACTGCCACTAGGGAGTAACAGCTGTCATTCTGGCGAGAGTCAGAGCTGGGGTTAGGACTGTGGGAAAGAAAGTCTGGGGGGCGGGGGTTAAGTCTGGGGGAAAGAGCTGAGGAGTCAGTCATGGCTGTCTTAAAACACAGAACCTCAGCTGAGCAGGGGACTGTGGCGCACGGGGGCTGGAGGGCGTGGGCTGGCCCAGCTCCCTCCACTCACCACTAAGATGAGGGTCCCCAGGCACTCTGCCAGGGCCTGACGAAGCAGCCGGTAGCGGATGTGGAGCATCTCCCCGCAGCGGTTCACCAGCTCCTTCTGTCGACCCATGGCGGGACAGGCGTTGGGACTGTCTGGCAGAGAGCTGGACGGCGGGCACAGCGAGCAGTAGCCTAGAGCGCCGGAGGCACCTTTTATAGGCGCGCGGAGGCACCTTTTATAGGCGCGGAGGCCGGCCACGCCCAGAGAGCCCCGCCCACCTGTCCCCGCCCACTGCGCCTCGCGGGGTGGAGTGGCAGCCACCACCTAACCTAGGGGCGTTGGTGGGGACTCTGGGTGGGAGAAGCTGGTGAGGACCGAGGAGGGACCTGGCGTGTGAGGAGCTTTGAGGATGGGTTGACCCTCCAAGGTACTTAGGGGAGGGAATGTCAAAAGGGCTGAGAGAGGATTGCAGAGGATCTGAGAGCAGTGGTGGCGATGTAAGCAGAATCAGCACCGCACCTGGGGAGAATGGAGATGCCAAGAAAGATTCCTCCTGAGCCCACTCACACTGAACCCTATGGGCATCCCACCAACCTTGGGGTCAGAAGGGAAAGCAGGCCCCATCCACTCCCTGCTCTACAAGATAAATGGACCCAGCAGACCCTCAGTCGCTGAAGGGGAGGAGACTGTGGGTCCCAAGTGAGAAGAGACCCTCTTGCAGTCCAGACCCAAGTAGGCACGCATGTGCTGAGTGCCAGCCAGAGTTCCCAGGCCCTTTTCCTTATATTGTAAGGAAGATGTCATGTGTTGCATGTGTTGACCAACTATGTCCACAGCTGTGTCCGTACCTGGTGTATGTCCTTGATCGCACTTCTGGACATTCCAAATGGCTGTGCACATGCCTGTTGAATATGGCTGGGTTAACTGAGCTTTCACACGTGTACCTATGTGCACTGTTCACATGGCTCCAGAGTCTGGGCTGCAGTTGTCCCAACATGCCACAGGCTATATCCTGCCAGCTGGGTGAGTTCCAGCTGTTTTTAACTCTCTCCTCTCCACTTTGGCTGATCTTATGACCAAGGAAGTCTGTCCCTTTAAGAGATTAAGTTGGCCAAACTGTCCCGGTGTCATCAGTCCCATCTGTGGGCGACAGTGGGGCAAATTTGCCCTAGCAAATGCTGCTTTTTTTTTTTTTTTTTTTTTTTGCAGTACTGGGGTTTGAACTCAGGGTCTACACCTTGAGCCATTCCACTAGCCCTTTGGGAAAAAACCCTGGTGGGTTTTATCGTGATAAACCAGCTGGAGCTAGCTTTGAACCCTGATCCTCCTAATCTCTGCCTCCTGAGTAGCTAGGATTACAGGTGTGAGCCATCGGCACCCTGCTTTTTGATCTGTTTTTTTGAGACAGGGTCTCTAAATGTACCACTGACTGGCCTCAAATGTATGATCTTCCTGCCTTAGCTTACTGAGTGCTGGGATTACAGGTGTGACCACCATGCCCAGCCCTGCATTTATTACTTTTTTTTCTTTTGCAGTTTTGGGAATTGAACCCAGGGCCTCACACATGCCTGAGCACATGGTGTACCACTGAGCTACACACCCAGTCTCTATGTTGCATTTATTTTTTAATTATTTTATTTTTGCAGTACTGGGGTTTGAACTCATGACCTTATGCTTTCTAGGCAGGCACTCTACTTTTTGAGCCACACCTCCAGTCCATTTTGTTCTGGTTATTTTGGAGATGGAGTCTTGTGAACTATTTGCCTGGGCTGATTTCAAATTTAAATCTTTCCAAATCTCAGGCTCCTAACTAGCTACGATTACAGGCGTGAGCCACCAGCACCTGGCTCTATGATGCATTAAATATCAGGAAATTAGACTAGAGGTATAGCTCAGTAGTAGAGTGCTTGTCCAGTATATGTAAGTCCCTGGGTTTGATTTCCAGCACACACACAAACACATACACACACACACACACACACACACACACACACAGTCACTCAAATAACCAGGACACTAAGGCCTGCTGGTCTGGGGCCTGCTCCCACAAGACTGGGAGCAAATAACATGTCTTTACCCAAGTCTCCAGGGCAGCATTGCCTGAGGAGAACAAAGAAACTAATTTTCCAGAGGGACCTAATGCAGGTCGGCTAAGGACCCTGATGACTTGTCCCTTGAGGAGTGGCTTTCAGAAATGAAACGAGATGAAATTTTGCAAGACTATAGCATAGATTCACACTCATGTAGATAGGTGCGCACATACGTGTACATGCATACATAAACACACCACACAGCTTGCAGTCACACACTTGCCTATAGACATTGCTCACAAGATATGGGATCCCATTCACATGAGAGCCTGGCCATAGGCTCACACATATGGAGCCCATCCAGGAGGCTTCTCAAAGTCCTTGGCCCAGAGAAATGCACCTTCCCTATTCTTCCCCTTGGGCTGGGAGGCCCCATGGTGAATCAAGAAGCCATCACTGAGTGCTTGCCTGCTGGCCCTGTTTCCAACTTGTGACTCAAAGCAGAACCTTAGACTCTTGGTGCCAGAGCTCCAACCACAGGTTTGGGAGTCAGGGAGCAGCCCCTGCCAAACTATCCTCTGTGCTCTCCACCCTAAGGTATGCTTCCTCACTGCCTCAAATGGGCCTGCAAAGGCAGCAGAGGGCAGGAATTCCTCAATGTAGATAGAAAACTGGAACCCCTGCCCACAGCACCACCTTACTCTGCCTATCCTAGGGCAGCCTACTGGCAGTAGAGACTGGCCTGGGAACCAAAGCAGGAAAAAAAATTGGGAGCCACTCTGCCACCAGCCAACACACAGAAGGCATGTGGTTGTACTCAGCTCACATAGAATTCACATGGGAGGCACCAGGCACACACAGATCACACACACAACCATAGACTTGTGGTTCACATTATGAAGCATTTCTTTACATGTGAACATCTATATGGGCTCACCCATGTGTGCATGTATTTGTGTATCTGTCTATAATCCTGGGGCTGCAGCTCTCCATTCAGCATGTGTGACCTGCTCCAGTTAATGCAGCCCTACACCAAGGCATATGACTTTGCAAGTGAAACAAGGTCTGGATCTCAGTGTTGCTTCCCTTGTCCTCTCAATCAGAGCCAACATGCGGGACCATGACCCCATGTACTCCCATCAAACTCATTCATACCCATTAACCAGCATGCACACACATCTTCACATACACATCCATTAGGAAGGTCAGGGCTGGAGCTGGGTAGGTCTTCACGCCTTTTTTTTTTTTTTTTGTATGGGAGTTTGAATTCCGGGCCTACACTTTGAGCCACTCCACCATCCCTTTTTTGTGATGGATTTTTTCAGAATGGCTTCGAACCATGATTCTCCTGATCTCTGCCTTCTGAGTAGCTAGGATTACAAGCGTGAGCCACTGGTGCTTGGCTTCATGCTTCTTAGTAGATGTAAGAGGACCCTACCTGGAAGAACGGAAGGATGTACTGCTTTCCAAAAGCTTCTTATTGCAGTCAGCCTTTCTTAGGTCATCTGGGATGGAGAGGGGTCAGGGATGCCCATTCAGAAGTGCCAGGTTGGGGCAATGGGACTGCCTCATTGCTCACAAACTCCAGGAGGCATCATACTCACTGTAGTCAGTGCAAGTGGCACTCCTTGGAGCAGAAGGCAAAAGAAACATGGCTTCACAGAGAAGAGACAGCTTGATGAGGCCCCAACCCTCTGAGTCACAGCTTACCCAGAGCCCTCTGGGCTCCCTCTTGTGCTTGGGTAAGGACAGCCAAGGCTGAGTGTGGGCCAGGAGCCAGCCCCCATTGGAGCTCCAGGAGGAGGCAGATGAGGAGGTCTCACCTCCTCCCAGGGCATCTTGAGCAAGGTCTGTGTCTCACCTGGGCGGGAGTTTGAGCCAGGGAAGGGGCCTGGTCCACACATCCTCCCGTGGGAGGCCATGACTCCTTTAAGGTCAGAGCTGGAGGAGTGGGTTCCCAGGAGAGGGAAGGGCTAAAGATGCAAGTTTCAGCCTGCTGGAACAGAGGGGCTGGCTGGAACCCTTTAAGGAGTGGGGGTGGCACACCCTTCATTTCCTACCCCCTAAACTTTTTCCTGCATGAATGAGAGCAACCTGAGTAGGAAAGGAGATATGAGCCTAACTGTCAGTGAGTCAGAGGTGTGGTGGAAATATAGAAAACAACCCCTCTAGAATCCCTTGAGGTCCCACAACCCTAACTTTTTCCAGAGCATTACAGTGCTTTGAGGGAGGAACCAGGCAAAACAGACATGCAGACATTTTCAAGTATAGAAAGCATTTCCTCCCACTTTGCAAAAGAAACTCCAGAAGTGGGTGTGTCCTCCCCATTTAACAAATGACCAAACTGTGGTTTAGAGAGAAGCTAAGTCCTTCAGCTACTACTGAGCTGAGATTCAAAATCCATGGGGTGGGGAGGATGAGGGGAAGAGGGTAGAGAGGCTAGGGAACAACAGATTCGAGGCACAGGGGAGCAGGGAGCCAGGACTCAAAAACCATTGATCCACTCCACACTCAGCTCTCTTTCCTGAGTGTGCTCCCACTCTTAAGTCATGGTCGGACATGATTCCTGCTTCTTGGTATCCAGGGTGGGGGGCTGGCTCTGAAGTGAAATGGGGAGTGGAGAGCAAAGATGAATCACCCTATTATAAGTATCCCCAGACTGGGGGTTGGGCAGGCAGCTCCTCCTCCTGAACCAACATAGTTACCACCACCCCCCTCCCATCTCCAGACAGGTGAGGTGGCCCAGAGTCCATAAATATAGACAAATATGAACCCCATCTCGGGCACCTTCAAGATGTCCAGCTGGACCTTGAGAAAAATCCACCTTTGCTCTATGTCCTAGGGACTCTAATTTCACCCTGGTGTTGCTGAGCTGCCCTTAGCAGTCATTTAGGGTTAGGACAGTGGAGGGTCATGGTGATGCAGGAGAGGGATAGGATGGAGGCCTATAACCCTTGCTAGGCTGATAGGGACATAGAACTCTGGCAGACCCAGAATCTGAGCTCCAAGCATGGCTTGGCCTCTGACTAGTCAGGTGACCACCATCCCTGAGAGTCTGTTTCTTCATCAGTTACACAGAGGTTTCTTCAGTTGGAAGCACTTTCAGGAATTGAACAAGATTGTTTCAGGCTGTGCAGGATGTCAGTGACTCATACCTGTAACCCTAGCTACTTGGGAGACTGAGATCA